AGAAGTCATCTATGAATATACAAGCACACATCTGTCCCTTCTCGCCCTCCCTTTCTTCCTCCATTCTAAAGAGCAAATGAGAGAGCACACTATACTTTGTTCTGCACCTTGCTTCCTCCACAGAATACAGTTTCAGCACACGAAGTGCTACTTCAATCTTTCTCACTTTATACTACAGTTCAGTATTCCAGCACACAGTACACTATAATTTCCTTAACCTGCTCTCAGGGACATGCAAGCATGCCCTCATGTGTGGCCGTGCACTTGTGTGGTCAGGTCTCCACGACACATTTCAGAAGTGGAGTTCCTAGGTCAAAATGTCTGTGCATTTTAGGTTGACAGAGATTGTCAAATTTTGTTTGCTCCATTGAGATTGTACCAAAATATTAATGGTATTTTGCTGCTTGGACACTGAAGCCAGGATTCCTACTACTCTTACAGAGCCCCATTGAGCCTTCTGTCATCACAAAGTTCCTCATGCCCAGTCTTGACACAGCACTTCTGCCCTCCTGCTTTCCCCACCCCACCCACCACCTCCAGCAGGAAAGGAATAAACAATTGAAAAGACTTAGTCGTCTTGGATATTTTAAATTTCCTTGTTTCAATGAATGTCCTATGAAAAATTTAACTATGCTTTAATTTGGATTAGACTAGGAAAAGGCAGTTTTTAATTTCCTAAGAACATACTCTTAATATTACTTCCAGATACAGTCAGAGCTTTGGGATGGTTTTGCAGCTCATGTGTTTGAGCCACCTGGATCCCATCCATGGCCAAATTTTTGTAGTAAGATCTGCATTACAACTTGGGCCATAACCAGATCAAGTTCATTGCTCTGTTTCTACAAATGCCTCTAGAACAGCTGGTGGTCTCCTCACAACTCCTTGGTGGAGATTAAATTCATATTTAGTGACAGAAGGTAAAATCTTTTCTTTTCTGAATAGTATTTAGTTGATGTTTGATTTATCAAAAATGACCTATTCTAGTCGAAACCGGTTTGGCTCAGTGGATGGAGCGTCGGCCTGCGGACTGAAGGGTCCCGGGTTCGATTCCGGTCAAGGG